AAACATTTTTGCAATGAATTCAAAAAACATCTCCCAAATGGTGCTGTTGCGCCTGGCCGAGTCCCGTGGTTGCCATTTAGAGGCAATTCTGGATCGTGAACATTTGATTCTTTATGCAGAATCCTTAAAAGAAGACATGTACACGTTTGTAGGCTAACCTGTTTAGTGAATTCATTGCAAAAATGTTTTCCGAGACTCTTTCAACGTTTCATTGGCAGGAGCATGAGATTGAAGCCGCAAAGACACGCATTACATTAGAAGCACTGCGAGCAGAAGCCTCGGCAAGAAATATTGCCATGGAGGCAATCCATAGGGAAGTTTTTGGATTTCATGGCTTGGGTAGTTCTCTTCTCTGTCAGTCTTGGCGCCCCTCTGAGCTTACCCAAGAAAAGCTATCTTTTTTCAAAAAGGAAGCATTTGAACACACAGTTTCTGGACCATTGTATTCCCTTACGTCTTTTGGGGTCGATCTAGACTGCGTCAAAGCTCTGGACTCGACATATTTTACCTCTTCAATGAAAGAATTCGTCTCTCAACGGCCAGCAGATGCCAAACGCAGGGTGTTTTCCCAGCCAACCAACTTATCATCCGCAAGAACTTTGCATTTGGAACGAGGAGTCAATGATACGGTTCTCAGTGTTGCCTTCCTTGCTCCAGGGTTCGGTGGAAAGTCAATTTCTGAAAATTTGAAACTATTGATTCTCAAGGAAGCATTTTATGCACCATCTCCTATTCCATATGGAGCGCCACATGGAAAATGGATGGGAAAGTCCCATTTAAATGGCGCCACCATGCAGTTTATTCCAGAATTCTTCCAATATTCCGATGCTGGCCTTTTTGGATTTACCATTTCCCTTCCCGTTTGTACCAATATTTTCAGCCCAGAAAAAGTTCTCATCGAGACTGCCCAACCTCTCGTGCAAGAGAAACTTTTGCTCGATATTTCTGAGGCTCAATTCAAGGCTGCCAAAGCCGCTGCAAAATTGCGAATTGCAGAGTATCCAGAGCATGCAAAGTCATTTGCCATTGGAATTGGAAAGTTCCTTTTTGGTAGCGATGACTCTGTCACCGCCATGGCGTCCTCCCTTCCTTCCGTTGCTGAAATGATGCAGTCGATTGATTCCACTGAAATCGGTTCCATCAGGGAGCTCCAAAAATCTATTTTTTCAAAGCACCCAGCATGTGTGATTGTCGGCCCAACACTCTCGGGCGCCCCGCTCAAGCCTTGAATTTCCATAGATAAGTAGTAAATTGATGGGGATGGCGTTTCCGTTTTTGTGTTCAATTAATTGATTTATTAGAAATGGTGGTATCCTTTCAGATATGTTATCAACTAGCATCAATGTTGTGAAACTGGCTTGAACGAATGGGTCTTCATTCTCGCGAGAATTTGTTCCTGCCGTAAATTTCGGCCGTCAAAAGTTTCCGTAGACGTCGACTCTTGCCCCGAATTGATGGAATTTTCGTCATAAAGGGCGGTTCTGTTCCGGTTGCCACCATTGACGTCATCATAGTCGTCATACTGGCTCTCATCCTCAAAATCGGTGGTCGTTACCGGCCGCATGCGATATGGCTCTTTTTTGATATGGCGTCTGTGTGAATGGACATTTGAGTCATCTTCTGTGGTCAAGCCCATATCCTCGGTTTCTGTGGTCGTAGAAAGTTCCGATGGATGAGCAAAGGCCGATGAAATATCGGCAACCTTCCGCCTTCCGCCTCCCAAAGGCAGCATTGAAGATATGTCTGGCGAAGCCATGTTTGATTGATTCGCCCCATATATTAGATTCCGTTCGCGCCGATGATTGATGTCATCATCGCCCTCGCCTTCGATATCCTGGTCAACAAGACGTGGCTCTGGAATATCTCTCAAAATAGGCGGATGGATGTCGACAATTGCGGAATTTTCTGAAGAATTCTTTTCATCAACAGAATGTGAGGAAACCCCATTCTGCAGGTCGAGCGTGCCGGAAGTTCCTATTGGTGTTGAAACAGCACCAACGACAGGGACAGAATTTTCGGAAAAGAAGCCCTTCTTTCGAGCAGCCTTGCGTCTGGCCCGGTTTTTCAAATGAAAATGGGTAATCGGCACCGTGATGCCGTGTATAACAATAGACGACAGCACTACAAACGAAACGATGGTAAAAATTGCGGAAGCTGTCTCTTGAGGTATCCCAGTATGGTGCCTGCAGACCATTGCAAAGAAAATGGCACCGACACCCATGGGGCCAAACCAGCCCGCAAAAAATGCCTCCCGTCCCGTTCGCAATTGCCCAATAAATGGCTTAAGCAACATCACAACAGGAAGTCTTCTGAAAAGTAGAATTGTAATCGAAATGAAGAGCAAACGGCCGACACCAAGAGCCTTGAAATCTTGCCACGGAAAGACGGCGCCCAATAGGATGAAGAAAATTAAATTAAAAAGCATATCGATGACCTAATTCGATAAACCGAAAAAGAAACTCACCTCCTGAAAGTGGGATTCTCGCGTGGCCTGGGTGTACCGATCATCGTCATAGGAGAACACCGTTCCTGCAATGAAAACCGCAAGAAGATCATCGGATGAAATCAATGCGACAAGCCCGGTAGTGGCCATCGCCACAGCCATCGAGTAGACCAAAAACGAGTCGTTATCGATAAGCTTGTATTTTTGAGAGGCCTCCAGAGCTTTTTTTGAAAGAATTCCAACCACAGCGCCGATGACGATGGAAAATGTAATCTCGTAAACCCATGTGACCAAAACCCATTCCTTTAGGGCAGGTCCAACAGCACCAGCATGCATCAGCAAGGACACAGGAAGCATTAAAAAGGGAAATCCAAGCCCATCATTGGCACCGCTCTCCACAGAGAGCAAATTCCGTAAATGGGACGGGATGTAGCGATTGGCGAATTTTCCCTTGATAACTGAATTCGCCAGCACAGGGTCTGTCGGTGCAAGACAGGCACCCACCATCAATGAGGACCATATATCTAATCCAGAAAAAAGCCAGACTGCCAAAGACGAAATGGCCCACATTACACACATGATTGGTCCCAAAAACATCATAAGATCTCTCCAATGTTTTTTAAGATAAATTCCGGGGATGGAAAGACCTACAGCCATAACCTATCATCGTTAGATTGATGATAACTGAGAAACGAAAATAAAAAATAGGCAAAAATAAAAGGAAAACCTTCCGAACACAATCGGCAAAAATGGAAAATTTCAAAGACAAACAAATGAACGAAAAAACGGATCAATTTCCTACCTGAAAAGAGATGATGATGCGCGAAAACTCTAAAAGAATTCTATAAAATGTTGACTCCGAAAACCACTCATAAGGGGTGATGATGGATGCACACATGGGCCCAAATATAATTCCGATCAGGACAGCCACGAGACTCTCTGTCAAATAGAGGCGCTCCTTGATGAAAAGAGACACAAGCCCAAAGAAAATAATGAAAAGACCGACGATTGCAAGCGTCTGATAGAACGGGTCGGAGAGATTTTGAAGCATTAAAAAAGCCAGAAAAATTGGAATAAATTTGAAACGAGTTGGGATTAATGCTATTGGTCGACCCGACCATTAACTTCTGATTGGGTTTGCAAATTCCACCCCATTAATGACCCCTGAAAAATAAATTTCTTTTTCTTAAATACGATCACGATGATGCATCATCATCATCATCACCATCCTCTTACGAGTAGCAATTCCACTCACTCCACACAATTAAATCCCAATAGTTCCCCCATTCATTCGCCTTATGCTACAACAACAGCCGCATCTGTGAGGGTATCGCTGGTTGTGTCTTCCGCCTCTCCTAATAGCCCATCTCCCCTCAATAGAAAAAACAGCAATCCCGCTAGCTCTCTTTGTCAGATAGGTGGTGTTCCAGAAAATATACACCCTGCTGTGAGTCAGCTTTCCCTCTTGTACTCAAAGCACAGAATTGTGGGCGGAAATGCTCGGTGTCTTGCGCTCCTACGCGTTTTTAAAAAGGTCATTCAAGACTACTTCCCCCCTGCAGGTGTTTCCATTTCGCGCCATTTGGACGCTACACTTAAGCCACAGATCGCTTGGCTCGTCAAGAGCCGGCCGCTCTCTATTTCTATGGCGCATGCGATACGACACTTGAAGTGGCAAATTGCTCATCTCCCGCTCATTGACCACTCTGTCCCAGAGTCTGATTCGCTTTCAATTGTAAAGACATATCTATGCCAAGCCATTGACTCTTATCTCAGAGAGCGAATTGAGCTTGCCGACGAGCTTATCGTGTCACTCGGCATTAACAGAATAGATGGAGAATCTCTGATGGTTTTTTCACATTCGGATGTCATTCTAGACTTGCTCGTTGCGGGCGCACAACGGGGAAAAAAATTCTCCCTGGTGGTTGTCGACGCAGGACCTCTTTACGAGGGCCAGTTTGTATTAAAATATTTGCAACAGCGACTGGGAGTTCCGCTTTCTGAAATCATACCAACATCGTATGTCCCGCTTTCAGCAATTGGCCACGCATTCAGAATTGGCAGTGTCACCCGCGTGCTACTAGGAGCCCACTGCATTTATTCAAATGGAAATGTTCAAACCCGTGCAGGAAGCTCCATGATTGCATTGATGGCCCATCAAGCCAACGTTCCGGTGATCGTGTGTTGCGAAACTTACAAATTTTCAGATAAAGTTCAACTTGCCACCACTTTGACGCACGGGATCGATGATGGTTCTTCAAAGCGCTCCAACTTTGCTAACTTGCGGATATCCCACTCGCTGCATGATATTATCCCATCAAAGTTCGTTTCGATGATCATCACTGAAATGGGGATGATTCCATGCACATCTGTTCCTGTCGTTATCCGGGAATACCGACCCTTTCCCATTTAAAATCTTATCAATCAAACCTTGTAGATTGCTTAAACTCTACTAGATTCTAATAGCTTTTTCGACAAAATAAACCATTTCCCTCCAGTAGCCTACTTTACCAGTACCTCTCCAAAAGGGTGACATTCTGAGCCACTAGTTGATCTACGGCTGCTAGTAGCCTAGCTGCTATGGGGGTAAACTATTTCTTGCTTTTCATGAAAAGTTAACATCGAGGGGGGAGGACGGCTATACTGGATTTCAATTAAAACTCGATTTTGGCTAGCCTTCTGAAATTGTAATACACATCATCATCAATTGCACGCGAAATCAAAGAACATGCCCAAATCCAAAGTTTATCACATCGATTTTCCTCATTTATCAAGTTTTTGCAGCGGCGTCTTTCTGGCTTTAAGGCTAAAATACTGCAAACATGAAGATGCATCACATAAAGTTCCATGGACTACTCTAGTGTATTTCGTTTCAAGCCTCAAGATCTTCACAGGTAGATTCTAACATTTTCGAGCCACATTTTTATATTAAAAGTCAATCCAAATTCCATACATGCCGTAAATATTTTCTTCTCCATCTGATAAACGCGTCCATCGATAGCTGAAAGCTACTTAGAAGAATTGAAAAAGATAATAAATGTGAAAGACTTGAATCCATGGCGACGGTTTGGATCTAAAAGTTAGTCCTAGACCTTCACGTCGTTTATCGGTGGTAACTAAGCAACTCTTTGAGGAATTGAACACTTGAATAGCAATAACGCCAATTAATATAATTAAAGGATTAATGAATATCCGGAAAGAAAAATGATGACCAATGGAAAATGGCATAAAATTGCGACAAAAATGCATCTTGCGAACGTGAAATTCCTTTCACAGGCTTTAATAATCACTTTCGTATTTGAATGTTGTGAGAAAAACTAGAAACAACATATGCAATTGTTCCGGCAATTACGCTTCCCATTTCAAGAAACAGGCAATCAGGAAATGGGAAAATTTGGCCACAAAAAATAGCAGAGAAGCTAAATTTCGTTTGAATGCTACGTGTAAAGGCGATCATCGCAAAATTGATTCAAAAATTGCACCAAGGAGATAAGTATATACGAATTCTTAATTTTAAGGTCAAAACCGAGTTTATAAAGAGGTTATTTTAATCTAACCTCTGAATGGAAGGGCCATATCGATCGAGATCACCTCTTTTAGCATTTATACTAGCCTTAGGCTTGATATTTAAAGACGATGCAGTATCACAAGTCGGACCTTTCACAAATTAGTCTGCTTCATATCAGATAAAAACAGATCGAGTTACTTCAAGTGAAAGGTTAAAGATGAAAGCACTAGAAAAAAGAAACACACTTGAAAAAGAGCCAATTTTTAAATGATCTACTGTTTTCTATATAACCTGGGAAAATAATACAAAAAATAAACTGCTCGCACTGAAAAAGAAAAAGAAAAAGTGGCTTCTTAAGAAGTAGAATCCATAAGCTATTAAAAAAGAATGCAAAAATGCAACCCGATCGCTTTTCACAGTCTTTTTTAAACTCAGCTTATTTTTAGCACCGCCACATTAAGATGTCTTTTAGATTAACTATCGCGGCCCCAACCCTAACCCTAAAATTTAAATTAACAAGATCAAGACTGAAGTGCAGCACAAGTAACACCCAAGCCAAACCCTAACCATGCCCCTAAATATGGTTCTGTTGCCTATTTTAAATTAACTATCACATCATTTAAGCCTACCCTTAACACATAGCTTTGAGGGCTATGTAGGAAAAGGTTCGTTGTGGCTATTAATAGAAATAGGCTTCAACGAAAGCTTGCTCAATATTATTTATGCAGACAATATGTTTATCAAAATCATAACACTCATTGGAGTCATAAAGGCGGAGGTTCTCAAAAAGTACTAGCCTTTGGCTCAATGTTTCCAGAGAAACAACAAAATCGCCAATAATTTCTCCAAGAAAAAGATATAAATGTTCAGGATGGAACCGTTCTTGAGAGTGCCCTCAGAACACCAATGCTGTCCCCAATGCTATTGGGCTCCAATGGCTTAACAACCTTTGTATACAATTCGTGATATGCATCATCAGCGAACCGGAGTGCTTTTTCGTGGATATGAGAACATATCTGCAAGTGGTGCGAAAAATGGTCAACCTGGAGGTAAATTAGCAAATACACACCTTAAACGAAAAGCTCTTGAGAAAAGACGAAAATTCGAGTAAAATCCGTTTCGAATCGAGCTCAGATTGGATGATATCTGCAGGCAAATCGCACTCTGGAGCCAAAGATGCCCTTCCAACGACAGTGGTCCCAGCAATTGCGGAAGCTGCTGAAGCAGATAGCAAGGACACGTAATTTTCCCAAGTGGCCACTTCTTTTTCTATCTTATCGTTAACCCCAGATAGCAGCAAAAATTCGCGCCGGATCCTTTCGTTTGCAGGATTTGGCTTTAGAACCTCTCCAGAAGTTACTGCTTTATCTTCAACAAATTGGATCTAAATATGAATATCAAAAGCATACTGGGACGTGATACCAAGTAGTTTGGACATGCTTTTTAATAAGACCGTCGACGACACCTTCCAGCACGCTCTTAATTATTAAATCCTCTTGCAATTGAATCGGAGCCTCTGAGCCTGAAAGGTCTGCAATTAGGGAATCTTTGTCGAAGGGTTCCTTTTTAGCATTATTAAACGATGCAGGCGTCTGAAGACACCAAATCAATAGCTGACGCATGCGAAGCGGGCCGGGAAGATCTGAACTGATATGCCTGTAGTAGGAGCAAGGATCAACGGCTGGATGAAGAGTGTCTTTGCAAATAATTACAACTATTCATTACATAAATTCGAGCCCAGTAGGGAAGACGCCCGTCGGCGAGAAGAAAGCCGTTTGAGCGAAGATTGATTTGATGGCTGTTGATGTGAGTTTTCGCTCACAGAGACGGCAGGCGCCTAAACTTTAGCTTGAAATTTAAATACCATCTCGGAAAGCTCAACCTCCCTAAGTTGGCGCCTTTCTATACAAGGCTGGTGGCTAGGTAGCATTCGCTCGTTGGCATCATTAAGAGCGTCGCTTGCAGAACACTCTTGTTTGGCAAATATGAATCCATCTGACGAATCGATAAAGGCCTAAAATTGGCAATCAGATAAACATACCGAATATCGACGGCCAGAAATTTCCACCTGTGGTGGAGAATGATGGAAAAATGACATTCTCTTGCCAGTGTTGTGCGAAGAAGGTTCATTTTCATTTTTGCCTTCGCACACAAACTTTATAGCCTGGTTGGATAGCGTCCTTCGCGGCTTTGAAATTTTGCCTCCACTCAATTGAGCCATTGGTATTAAATTTAAAGGGGGTTCTTTAATTTAAAAACATCTCCATTTGATGGATAATTCTACCTCTGCTTCCACTTCTGAAGCCATTGCTGCCAGGATTGCGAAAATGACCGCAGAAAAGCAGGATGCGGAAATGTCCGATTCAAACAAGTTTACCGACGACATTGTAAAGGTTGGCGATGTGGCATCGCTTCTCCAGACAGTGTCTGGAAAGGTATCCGTTCAACTGGCAGATCAGCAGGCAGATGTGAATTCTCCTCTTTATTCGGCATCCTCGTTTGAAGAATTGGGACTGCCTGCAGAATTGCTGAAAGGAATTTACGCGATGAACTACAACCGTCCCTCAAAGGTCCAAGAAAAGGCCTTGCCAATTTTACTTCGGACAAAGGGAAATTTAATCGCCCAATCTCAATCGGGAACAGGAAAAACAGCTGCGTTTGCCCTGACCATGCTGGAACAGATAAATCCTTCTCTTGAGGGAGTGACACAGGCTCTTTGTCTTTCGCCTTCTCGTGAATTGGCCCGCCAAATAGAAGATGTTGTTCTAAAGATGGCCAAATTCACAACAATCACCATAGGAACCGCATTGAGGGAAGGAAATTTAGATGAAGCTGTCAATCGGCAAATCGTCATTGGCACTCCGGGCACAGTTTTGGAGCTCATCCGCAGACGGATGTTGGATTTGAGTCAGCTGCGCGTGCTCGTTTTTGACGAAGCCGATGTGATGTTGGACAAGCAGAACCTTGGTACCCAATCTGTACGTGTAAAAGCGTAAGTTTGATGTTCATATTTTACGCTTTCCAGAGCTTGCCCATCCACCGTTCAGACATTGCTTTTCTCAGCAACCTTCAAACCAGAAGTCATGGCGTTTGCAAGTCGAGTTGTGCCAAACCCAAACATTCTCTCCCTCAAGAAAGAGGAGCTCAGTATTGATGCCATTACAGAATTTTACATGAAATGCGAAAATTCCAAGCATCGCCTCCAAATGCTCGCTGCAATTTATGGACTCCTTTCGATGAGCCAGTCGATTATTTTTGTTGCGGTATTGGATCGTAGTTTCTAATTTGAACTTTAGACCAGAAATGCTGCAGAGGAAGTTCAGGCCTGGATGACATTGGAGGGCCATCAGACTGCCGTTTTACACGGAGGGATGGACTCAGATGCCAGAGATGCCATTATTGATGAGTTTAGGGCTGGCCGCTCCAGGGTTCTGATCGCCACCAATGTCCTTGCCAGGGGAATCGATATTCCTCAAGTTTCGCTTGTCATAAACTACGACCTTCCAGAGACCGCTGATCGTAAAGTAGATCCGGAAACCTATCTTCATCGTATTGGACGAACAGGGCGCTTTGGTCGCTCTGGAATAGCCATAAACATGGTGCATGATGCCCATTCGTTTGACATTCTTATGGCAATCCGCACCTTTTTCAACAAGCCGATGAAAGAAATTCCGACCAACGACGTTTCTGCAATTGACGAGTCTCTCAACAGTGCTTAATCGATAAATAAGATGCACACTTGATGGTCGAAATAACTTGCTACAAGGCCCAATTTATTATTAAATTAAAAGACGCTCGATTTGGGAGCGAAGGGCCACTATTTGAGGACTTAGTTCAGAGCCTTCACTTGAAGTGACGCTTGCCGCTATAACGGGACGCGAAACATTGCAGGCACGACCAAGGGCCTCTTTCGACGGAACAAACACATATGGAACGTTCTTGTCTTCACAAAGAAGCGGAAGGTGCAGAATGATTTCCAATGGCTCGGCATCGGCTGCCATGATTATAAATTCGGAGATGCCTCTATTTAGCGTCTTTGTGGCCTCGTTGGCACCCTTCCTAAGTTGCTTGTATCTGGAAGAAACCTGCACAATGTCTAAAATAGTGTTTGTAAGTGCTGCATCAGCGAGCGGAAATGCCTTCGGATTCGGAATCGACGTCTATGAAGAAAGAAATGCTGTGGATAGCGCGCTTACCATTAGGTAAAATAAAAATAAAAGCGATTGCAAATTAAAATTTAGACCGCGTTTAAAATCTGTCTCCAGTTCAAGTGATTAATTTGAAATCACCGCATATAAATAAGCATCGAAATGAAGTCATTTGACACCTGAGCTTGATTTTTGCGCCTCAACTTGATTTGTCAACCCAACAAAATGGATTCAGATTGCACGTGTGTAACGTTTTTCGGTCGTCCTTGCGGGACAGCCACTTTGTCGCGTGCTCCAGACCAAGACTGCCAGAACGATGCAAATTGCCTTTTTGCGGCCTTGGCCACGTTTTTATAAGCCCTTATTTGTAAACATGCATTCTAATCACAGCCATATTGTTAGGGTTCAATTTAAGCTCGTGCGGAAACGCCCATTTTGAAATATCAGAGCAGAGCTCTAAATTGATCGGAGCTGCTTAAGCCCATTTGTGACCAAAATACGGATAGTTGAGATTTAGTTTTAATTTAAATTTAATGGACTATAACGACTCCATCCTCCTCGACCCCATTAGGAGTCATCTCATAAAGATGATCCAATATATCTCTGAATTAGAGGCATCGGTTGCCTCTAGTTCCGAAGTTAACTGGAAAGATGCCCTTGCAAAATACAGCATCTATTCGTTGGAATTATCTCAGTTAGAGGATTTGGTATCTCAGAAGAATCTTCGGTCTTTTCTTTCTTCTACGCTTGCCGTGCCGAGGATTGATTTTAAGGACCAAAAGGATGAAGCCTTGCCACGGAATTGGTTCGGTAAGATTTTCGCCAATATTTCTAGTTCCGAATATCCTGTTGAGATCGCGTCCGATTGCGCAATTTGAGGATGACATTTGGAGGGATGTTTTAAGCTCGGAAACGAAATCCCTATGCTCGATGGAGGATTTTTTTGCTCTAGATCAGCCCAGGATTTCTTCTTTGATTTCCGAATATGCGGAAAAGATCAAGAACCACGACTCCCATTTTATTAATTTGATAAACCAAATTGAGCAGGAACAAATGGGCCTCGCTAAGCCGCAGAGGGCCGCACAGGGCGCCAGCCCTCAAAGCGGCCCTGTGGCTAATCTTGCCGGCTTGATCAAGTACCAATATGAGCTTTGATGTTCAAAACTCGCCTACGGCCATCTCGGCAATACTGGTGTGGCACCTGGATCAAAAAATCCACACTAWCGGCTTTGATCGACTCGCTATACAGACACACAGACCAATAAACTTGAGCTTAATGATAGGAGCTTATTAATAAATTAAAACCCTAATTAGATTGGCCATCGGGCCATATAAACTGCACAAACAGCCGAACAAGTAATGGCTGCAAATAACGAAACAATTCAAAGTCAGGGGTTCAACTGGGAGGGCTCCCAACGGGGCGGATGGATAGCGCTTTTCATCATGCTGATAATTTGGTGGCTATCTTTTCTGCCCAGAGCGTTTGCCCAATATGTGATCAAAGACACAGAGGAGCCTTCAAAGATAAAAGTTGGCACATCAATTTTTAGGATAGTTTTCCAGGGTTTATAGATCCAATGCAATCGCAAGAGATGGCGTTCTTTTGATATTCCTGGCTGTGGGGTTTGCATTTGCTGGGTCTGCTTCTGAAAGCGCAACCGGTGCCCTCATGTACCGCTACACTCCAACTGTCGTTATAGATGGATATTCTTTGCGCTGTGGACCATAATTATTATATTGTCTTACTTGATAGAATCAAGAAGTCTGATTTCGATTTGTCAATTTGCAACAACCACCCTGATTTTTGCCAGCTTTATTGTGACCTTTTCAACGGCCATCGACAGGGCACCAAGTGTGCACTGAAAATAAAAATGCTAAATCCGAAATTTACAACATGTGCTTTTAGCGGGCATTGCATAGGCGAGTTTATTTTCGATGTTTAAAATTTATGCAATTGCCATCATCAGCCGGTCAAACTCGCCCCTATACATGAGAACGGCCTTTCCTTGCGGCGGCGGCAACGACGGAAGCGACGGAAACGACGAGGCCTCAAGTGCAAACAAAGAACTGTTTGAGAGAAATGTCTTTTCTCTGCTTGATACGATTGAAAGCATTTCAAAGATAAAAACGGTCGAAACAGATCCGCACCTGGGACTGCTTGCTACCATCAACACCTATTCATACTATGCCTACTTATCTCCCTGCATGGTTAAAATAATAATTTCTGGCAAATTCGACGACATCCAAAAATCACTGACTTGGAAGGAAGCTCTGGTTCGCGCACGATTAAGGGAGATATACTCAACGTGGTGCATATCGCTTTTAAATATCTTTATTCCGGTCAAGAAACGCGCCTATCCTCCACTGGATTTGTATTTAAATGCGCCTAACCAAAGCTGACCAAAACAGGGGCTGTTGTGTCGAGGACCAGCCTCTTTTTTTCCATCAACCTCCATGTATTCGATGTGCTAATTAGACTTCCAAATTCTAGCCTGTCATGGTCTATTATCAATAAATAATAGAGATACCAAAGTCCCAATACAGCCCGTCTGTCGATACGATGGTTTCTTTCGTGGAAATGGGAACGATTCCAATGTGATCTCCGATGCGCAGATGATCAGCCAAATTGAGGCCAATAAAAAGTTCGTATTTCCCCGTTGGAAGCACGATGAAAAAAGACGAAGTTCCGGTAATTACAAGGGCAGTGATGTTTGGCGATGACGAGCAAAGAGCGGCAACCGAGTGAACAATGCTAAAGGCACTATCCATTCTTCCAGAAAACTGCGCAATAATAATTAGCTCCGATATATCGGGCCTATTGTGGGAAATGGAACCAGTACAAACTTGGAAAGGATAAAACAGATGCACTTTTGTAGGTCGGTAGTATGCTGGTCATGCGACAAATCGACAACTTTGACATTCTAGGCTCGTGAAGCAGGAGCAAGCTACCTTATCCAAAAAATACTGCCTCGTTTCATGTGTGATCGAGTCAAGATCTCCAATGATTTGGCTTGGTAGCTCGAAATCAAAGTTTGGAAGAATACGAAGCAAATGATTTGCCGCCCCATCTGCGCAAAGACGAACGGAGGAGCCGTTCCAAAGGCTTCTAATTGAAAGGGGGTCGGAGTGGATCCAGAAGCGATCCTTACTGTCGCAATTTAGCAGGATAGTTGCATAGCTGCGATTTGGCGATGGAAAGCTTCTTAAATCTATTTTCTTCATTTTTCACACAGACAAATGTATAGGCGGTCCCAGGTCTGAATGTCGTGAAAAAAAGTCAAAGTCAATTGAGAGTGCACAAGCCAGCAAAATTATTTTTTCGTCCCGCTTTAAATCTTTAAATTTTAGCAAATAGTGACCGGAATCCGTAAACATCTAAATGGTCAGCAGGATGGGTGATACAACGTACCTCTTTCAAAAGATGTGTAAAATTTCTGGTAATCAAACAAGGAGCCTTCTTTGCGCTCCTATTTACTTCAAAATCCCAAGAAAGAAATCCGGCATCTATGGAACCGAACATGCGATTTTGCGCGTTCAGCAGTGAATATTGCCGTCTCCATAAATGCCAATGTTGCATGGAACTCCCAACTTTTGAATTTGAGCTGCACTCATGGGCCTGTACGTTTGATTGGAAAAGAGTAAAAGGCCTAGTGAGCACAAATTTTTTATCCCAATTTTGATCGCAAACGATCAGTGAAAATGGACGGAAGCGGCCAAGAAGTTGCCTTTGCAGGAAAGAATTTGCATTGTCTTCGTAAATATGGCCAATCACAGAGTCTGGTTGTTTAGGGTCACGGATGGTATATTTATTTCTCTGTTCAATTCCAAAAAGAGCATTTGCAGCTTCGATTTCTCTACAAATAAGGATTTCCTCGGTATCGCAAAGAAATCGGTGACTACCAGGTTGTACCGCTTTTTTGGAACATTTTTTAGCGACTTTATATCTTTTAATGATCGATGCAAATGAAAAGCATTGTGGTCCGGCTCTCATGTATGCCGTTCAAGCGCGTTGATAATTATTGGGCCTGGATGTGCAAAAATTATTAAAAGGGCCGTTTTTACAACTTTTGTACTAGGGTTTGTAAAATTGTACACATCACCCGTGATGACGTTGAAACTTGCTGATGGATCCCACAAAGGTAATAGGCCCATTCAAAATTAAAAATACCATGCGATTTCCAGCGTAAATGCGAATGTAAATCCAGAGCTCCAGTAAATTTACGCGTCTATTTATGGATCTATTAGCAGCACAAACACAGTTCATTTCTCATTTCTCATTTCTCGTTTCTCGTTTCTCGTTTGTAGTTTATATTTACTCCTAAAGTCCCAATTAGGCAAAATACTGCAGCGAGGTTTTTTTTCGGGCCTGAACTTCTTGAAGACCTTCTACAAAGTCTTCGTGTGTGATTTCGGATGCAGAGCGGCGCAAGGCAATCATTCCGGCTTCCACGCAAACCGCTTTACATTGGGCGCCGTTCAAGTCTTCACAACATCTCGCAAGCTCCTCAAATTTTACGTCCGAAGACACACGCATTTTCCGCGCATGTATTCTGAGAATATTAACCCTTGCGGCTTCATCTGGAAGCGGAAATTCGATTTTTCTGTCTAATCTTCCAGATCTGAGGAGCGCAGGATCCAAAGTATCAACTCGATTGGTGGCAGCAATCACTTTGACTTTGTCGTCTGTTGAGAACCCGTCAAGTTGATTGAGGAGCTCTAGCATTGTCCTTTGTACCTCTCGATCGCCATTTTTCTCGGAATCAAACCGCTTTGTTCCGATTGCATCAAGCTCGTCGATGAAGATAATTGCTGGAGCCTTTTCCTTTGCCAAGGCAAAAGCGTCTCTGACCATCCTTGCACCATCGCCAATAAACATCTTGAATTATTTTTTCGCTTCGTACCTGCACAAGCTGGGGACCGGCAAGCTTCAAAAAGGTTGACTTTGTTTGTGCAGCACATGCACGGGCAAGAAGGGTTTTTCCTGTACCTGGAGGTCCATACATAAGCACTCCTAAAGTAAAGGAATCAAAAATGAAAGCAAACCCTTTGGCGGCTTAATGCCTACATTTTTGAAGCGCTCTGGATGGGTCATTGGGAGCACAATTGCCTCAACAAGCTCTTCAATTTGCTTATCGAGACCGCCAATATCATTGTAGTCTTCCTTGGGTCGCTCATCGACCTCCATTGCTTTGACGCGCGGGTCATATTCGGAAGGAAGCTTATCAAGAATCAAATACGAATCCTTATTTACACCGATAGGGTCTCCTGGTGTCAAATCCTCCGCATCAACTAGTCCAATGAGAGGCAGGAAAATGGTCTGTTCCAAATTAGTAATGAGCCTTTACTTGTCGTGTTGACGTTTTTATGACGGCACATTTTCCTTTACGTTGCGCATCCAAGTCAAGACTTGCACCATCCTCTTCATCTTCCGGCGAAATGTTCAAAATCTAGTTGACGTAAGAAACACTCAAAAAACCTCAACGACGTTCCCCACCAGATGCGGAAGCTGCTGGTTCATTTTTATCTTTTCCTTGTTCTCCTTTAACCGCTCCGTCATGGTTGCATGGTCATGGTTTAGACGCATAATTTCCGATTTCGAGATCTATAGGGTTAGCTAAACTTTCCGTGAACTTTTAGGTCATTTTCCAAGAGTTTGGTTCGATTTACGATTTCCTCAACTCTAGTGTGCAGTGGATCTATTCCAGAAAGCTCTTCTATGGAAAGCGAAAGGATTTCTGGAACGCCCTCCATCAGTGTATCTGGGCTGGAAGCTGAAATCATCGATTTGGGTAAAAAATTAATTAATTTCTAAAATTTAACCAAGTGATAAATTCAAAACAATTCTTAACCCCGAGTTGATCAAAGTTTAAACCCGCCTTCTGGTATGTTATGTGCTGCAACGTGACGACGGTTTTTGCAGCCATTCACAATCTTCCATGAGCGAAAGTTCCTTTTTTGAACAGTTGGCCGAATTTTCGACCTACCTTGACGCCAATATTTCGATTGCCTCTGATATCTTGAATACGTTGTTCTACTGGAATGGCAATACCCATTTGTTCAACTATTTTTTCATTCTGCTGATAAACTTTTACTTTTTTGATTGCAGATTTTATATTCTTTTTGCGTTTGTTTTTTTTGGTTTCCTTTGTCTTCCTTCAATCTCGTTCGATGAAAGGTTATCACAGGCCTCCTCGATGCAATTAGTTTTGAAGGGATTAAACTTCAAGGTCATTTGGATTGTTATTTCTCTTTTTTCTGAAAACGCTGCAAATCCCTTTGGATCTTCTATTATTTCTGCGGTTGGCGGATATGATTCGGTTGAAAAAATTGATCCTCAATTGAATTTTCTACGCAAGAAAAAACAGGACATTCTTGCGTTTATTGGCCATTTTCTGATGGTCGCTAAAAGAATGCAAGTACTTTGCAATGATATTGACAACTTCCTTGCCAATCCCTTGGGCTCGGTTTTTGAACTCCGCGTTTTCGTCCTTTGCTTTGTGATCTCAAAAATAAAGGTCTCCTATTTGTTGATGGTTCTGTTGAACGTCGCCCTTTTGTGGAATTGGCCCCCGTTCATGATTTTTCGTGGCCTTTCCCTGTATTTGTATGATTCCTTTCTGAGATTTTATTTTAAGAAATATTTTGCAACGGTTCTGATTGATCGTCGTGTGTTCTGGCCGGTTTCTGTTGGCAATCAGAACCAAAATCAATGGTACATCAGAATCCCAACAAAGGCGGAAATCCTCCATAGAAGGATTCTCTTTTTTGACCTTTATGACAAGACAAATAACGAAATTATTCGCGTGCTATATCTCTATGAAAATCAACGCTGGTGGCCGGGCATTGGTTGGACAGACATGCTTAAATCAACGGATCGTCCAAGATATTCAAATGAAAGTGGCTCGATTGGGTCTTCCTTACTGTTGCCGATTGAACAGCAGGCATTG